CGTTTTTAGGGTATTTCGACCCTGCTGAGTACGAATCTGCCTGTTGCCAACGCGAAATTTGAACCGGACCTGCGGTATTCAAGATGGCGGCCAAAACTCTGTTTGCCCCATATCTCCCTTGTTAGTTGGCCTAAAATAATGGTTTAAACGTGTATATAGGGGGTTTTCAGATGCCAAGCACATTAAAACACTCAAAATTAACTTAAATTAAGTTTTGAGGGCATATCTTCCAAAATGGCGCCCAAGATGGCCGCCAAAAACTCTAATTTACGCATATCTCCCTTGTTTTTTGGCTTAAAATAATTATTTAGACGTCTGCATAGGGGTTTTCTACGATGCCAAACACATTGCAACACCCAAAATTTACTTACATTAAGTTATGGGGGCATATATTCCAAGATGGCACCCGAGATGGCCGCCAAAAAACTCTTATTTCCATATATATATATATCCCTTGTTTGTTTGTTTAAATTAATTGTTTAAAAGTCTACAAAGGTATTTTCTCGCATGTTAAATCACATTGCAACACTAATTATTTACTTTCTTTGAGTTTAGATGTTTCTAAGATGGCAATAAAAACTTTATCGTGCTTACGTGATCTCCGTGCGTATTATTGTATTTAGTTTTTAAAACCAGTCAGATATCTATTAGTGGCTGAATATTTGCTACTATTTTTGAAATACTAATTGAAATTTAGCAATGTAAAGTAGAAGGCAAATTGTTTAATGTACTCTGGTGGCACCGTAGATAACGCGTAGTATAACAAAACCTGTAATTAAGTAATTGTAGAATTAATTGTGTATGATGTTGACGAATTTATCACTTATTTAAGGTGTCCAGTTATGTAAATATATATTTATTGTAAAATATAACGATGCCATACGTATGATTTGTATGTTTTATGGCAATAAATTATTTGATTTGATTTGATGTTATTTGAACGTTTAGTCCAACAGAATCTGTAAAAATTATTTTTTAGACCATACCTAAAATATTGTGTTGATCTTGTGGTACCACCCATCAATGGAGGTTTGTTTACCATGGGTCTCAATGGATGAAATAGATTTTTTAAGTTTTTTTATGGCAGCATTGTGTTGGCTGCACTGATCAACATTAATTAGTAAACAATTCTTATTATTTTTAATATCTTATGTTGGCCAACCGTCTATAAAAGTTAGTTTATGAAGAGAAAGTAAACAATTGTATACATGTGTACAAAATAATTGTTAATAAGGTAACATCTTTTGTTTTCCAACCGTCTATAAAAGTTTGTTTGTGAAGAGAAAGTAAACATTTGTAAATTTCTAAGAAATAATTATTTGAGGTAAGTATAATTTGTATTAAATCCTTAGTTTATTCAAAATTAGCAATAGGGAGTTTTTGAACCATTCGTTAAATAATCACGGTAAACGCAATACGTTATTTTCACATTTAATAAAGGAGAAAACATAACGAATAGCGTTTACCGTAATTATTTAACAAATGGTTCAAAAACTCCTTATTGATAAGTTAAAATGAACTAAGGATTACAAATTATTGTACTTACCTCAAATAATTATTTCGTAGAAATGCATACAGATGTTTACTTTTTCTTCACAAGCAAACTTTTATAGACGGTTGGGAAACAAAAGATGTTACCTTATTAACAACTATTTTGTACACATACAATTGTTTACTTTCTCTTCATAAACTAACTTTTATAGACAGTTGGCCTACATACGATATTAAAAAGAATAAGAATTGTTTGCTGATTAATGTTGATCAGTGCAGCCAACACAATGCTGCCATAAAAAAAACTTAAAAAAAATCTATTTCATCCATTGAGACGCATGGTAAACAAACCTCCATTGATGGGTGGTACCACAAGATCAATACAATATAACAGTACAGTATCATTGTTAATATTGTCACCAAATTGTTTATTAGGCTATTATTTATTAATGTGTTATAAAGAACCTTTGTTTAACTTAATTTACATGCACCACCTCTTGCGGATTTTAGGTATGGTCTAAAAAATAATTTTTACAGGTTCTGTTGGACTAAACGTTCAAATAACATCAAATCAAATCAAATTATTTATTGCCGTAAAACATACAAAACATACGTATGGCATCGTCATATTTTACAATAAATATCTATTTACATAACGGGACACCTTAAATAAGTGATAAATTCGTCAACTTCATACACAATTAATTCTACAATTACTTAATTACAGGTTCTGTTATACTACGCGTTATCTACGGTGCCACCAGAGTACATTAAACAATTTGCCTTCTACTTTAACATTGCTAAATTTCAATTGGTATTTCAAAAATAGTAGAAAATATTCAGCCACTAATAGATATCTGACTGGTCTTAAACACTAAATACAATAATACACACGGAGCTCACGTAAGCACAATAAAGTTTTTATTGCGATCTCAGAAACATATGTCATCTAAACTCAAAGGAAGTAAATAATGAGTGTTGCAATGTGATTTAACATGCGAGAAAATACCTTTGTAGACGTTTAAATAATTAATTTAAACAAACAAACAAGGGATGTATATATACAGAAATAAGAATTTTTGGCGGCCATCTTGGAATATATGCCCCCATAACTTAATGTAAGTAAATTTTGGGTGTTGCAATGTGTTTGGCATCGGAGAAAACCCCTATGCAGACGTCTAAATAATTATTTTAAGCCAAAAAACAAGGGAGATGCGTAAATTAGAGTTTTTGGCGGCCATCTTGGACGCCATTTTGGAAGATATGCCCTCAAAACATAATTTAAGTTAATTTTGAGTGTTTTAATGTGCTTGGCATCTGAAAACCCCCTATATACACGTTTAAACCATTATTTTAGGCCAACTAACAAGGGAGATATGGGGCAAACAGAGTTTTGGTTGCCATCTTGGATACAGCACTTCCGGTTCAAATTTCGCGTTGGCAACAGGCAGATTCGTAATCAGCAGGGTCGTAATACACTAAAAACGTTGTTTCCCCAATTGTTACATGAAATGCTTCTTGCACTTTATAGAGAGGGATTTTTTAATTTTGGGCCTGGTCTATTTGTGTAACACGTCAAAATACACAAGTGTGTCAAATTTAAAGTTTGTACCGTGATTCAAACTCGAGTTATAAGGTTATTTATAATAAAACACATACAGACAGACAGACGGAAAACGAGGCTCCGGCGACCCATGTTTATAATGTAAAATATTCACCCAAGGAATAATCCTGTGAATTTTTTCGAAAGAGTTCACAAACACCCTGTATATATATATATATATATATATATATATATATATATATATATATATATATATATATACAGGGTGTTTGGTACTCAGAGTGAAAAATTTTTTTTGGTGTAAGTACAAAGTAAATGCAGTATGATGATGCATATAAAATGTCCCAAGTCTAAAAATTAGCTTCCCAAAGAATTATTTTATGTTTTTCAAAAATAACTATGTTTTTAAACTTAATACAGCTATTTCTCAATTACCTGTAAATGGATTTGAGTAGACAATGTCATTTTCGTGTTCTACATTAAATTTTGAATAAGAATAATACAAAATGACAGAGAATCAGTTGTAAAAACTCCATCGTAAATAGATTCAAAGATAAAAATTAAGATGTCTGATAAAAATGCAAAAAACATTGGTCAATTGCATTTGTTCACACCCTGTATACAGGAAAGTGTCGGAATATGTTAAAAACTGCGCCATTTTATAAGCTTTCCAACCATATGCTACACTATTGAGGTTTAGATATTTTTTTGTTTATTTTAGTGGTTTGAATGCCAGAAAACAGGGAACTTTTTTACTGTTTTTACTGTTCAAGCTGAAACAAAAATACAACTTTAGCTTAATACATGCTGACTTTCTATGTTTTAAATGATAAAGACGCCATGCTTTGTAGTCTTCAAACCACAAAAGCGTACATAAGCAGACAGAAAGCTCAATGGTGTAGCATATGGTTGGAAAGCTTATAAAATGGCGCAGTTTTTAACATATTCCGACACTTTCTTGTATACAGGGTGTGAACAAATGCAATTGACCAATGTTTTTTTGAATTTTTACCAAACATCTTAATTTTTATCTTTGAATCTATTTACGATGGAGTTTTTACAACTGATCCTCTGTCATTTTGTATTATTCTTATTCAAATTTAATGTAGAACACGAAAATGACATTGTCTACTCAAATCCATTTACAGGTAATTGAGAAATAGCTGTATTAAGTTTAAAAACTTAGTCATTTTTTAAAAACATAAAATAATTCTTTGGGAAGCTAATTTTTAGACTTGGGACATTTTATATGCATCATCATACTGCATTTACTTTGTACTTACACCAAAAAATTTTTTTCACACTGAGTACCAAACACCCTGTATATTATGTGTATGTGTGTACAATAACTTGAGTAAAAATTATCCGATTTTGATTTTATAGAGGAGAAAATTGGTTTTTTCTCTACCTATTTTATTACCAAGATCAGTAATAGCTATCATTAAGTGGTACCTATTAAAATTAGGTTCAGAATTTCTAGGAACTGAGCATGTTTAATTAAGAAGCAACTTAAGCTACAATAATATTAATATTATTTTCAAAAAAAGTTATATCTGAACTAAATACTCTGTTATTCTATGTAAAGAGAATTATAACAGACGGGATTATGACAAATGAGACACTTCTTCCTAAGTACTATGTAATGCAGTTGTAAGCTCGTAGTTGACTTTGTCGGCTGCTAGGCTACTACTGCGTTTTGGGTTATGGCCTGCAAATTGATCGTGTCCCGTCTCTTATTATATTTATAGGGCTTCCTTTTTAGGTTTGATGACTCACATATAACATGAATTAGCAAAAAAGGAACAAGGGAATATAATGAAACAACATGCATAGTAATAATTTGAATGTATTTATACTTTATATTCCTCTGATAATACTTTTAAACACTTGCCATCATGCAACTTAAAATTTATAAAAAAGTAATAATATTTATGGTCTTTTTCAGATACAAGGATTTACCAATAGAGAGCAATAGACTGTGATGTAGACTTAATTAGTAACTAATGTTTGTCATTTCATAGTGGGTCATATAATTATTTTCTTAGTTTGGGCTTTGTTACTGTTTCAAAATGCAGGGTGATTAAAAAAGAAGTAAACAACTTAATACGTAGCCTATATAAACTAAAAGTTATGTTGTTTATGTCAGTGTAGTTGGTACAGTGGATAGTTAAATACATGAATTTTGATTTGAAACAGCCGATTGTTGTCAACAACGCAAACATTCTGTAGAGTTTCAGAGTTAAGTAAGTATTTCTGTAAAAAATTGCTCTTAAACTTTTAATGAAATATTTTTCTGGGCTTGAGTTTGTAGAAATTTTATCAGCTACTGTTGATTTAGGACTCATTGTAGGCCTGATAAATCTATATAGAATGACATAAGAAGTTCAGCACTAAAGATTGTTGAACAAATAATAAACCATTGAGAGGCCTGAGGTAACTGCTGTTACTGTTGCACTTACTCAAAAGAAGTCGGCAAGGGAGGTGAGTTTAAAATTCTACAACCAATGGTTTTAAGTATAATGATCTTATACGTATTATAAGAAAGTATCCAGATGAGAATCTCCCGATGCACTTCACATCATCAAGCTAATGTTGCAATGTCCTCCGCATTGCCCTGATTTAATTCCTCGTTATTTATATTTGTGGGATTATGTGAAAGACAACAAGTTTGTACAGCTTTTCCTATCAAACCTTTTGCTGCTAAAGAGAAAGGATTGTTTCTACAGTAAAGAATATTGATCAGCTCACTCATCAGGGAGTTTGGACAATGCTAAAAAATGGATTGTATTATTCTGTGCAAACCAAAATCCACACTTTAAACTTTTGTGATCCATGGAAAAAATTTCAAGAACTATTTTCAGAAAACATAAGATGCATTCTTCTTGTATAACATTATTAGAACATCAAAGTTGTTTATTTCTTTTAGAATCGCCCTAATGTTATGTTAAAATCTCCTGGTTTATTTATAAAGTGTATACATTTGTATGACGTAATTAATGTCCAGTGTACGTTACATTGCCATATTTATAGAAAAAATATTTTCCTTTATCCACACTGTAGAAAACACCCAAAAGCTTTAGTTTCTGCTACATCAGAAATAACAGTAGTCTCTTGGATAGGTGAGTTTTCTAAAATAAAAACAGTTCTTCCTTAACTCGTTACTCATTTCAATAAGTTTCATTCTTGTTAAACAACTGTTTCACATTCAGTTAAGGTGTTGTGGTCCAGTGGGCTGGGCTGAAATATTCCTCCCAATACTGATTACTACTAGGGATTGACGGGTCACGAATTTTTGAGAAATTTGCAAGATTAACCCTTTAACTGGAAGCGGGACTGTAGTCACGTTTTGGTCAAGGTTTTGGTTAACTCCAAAAAAATTGGTTAAAAACAATTGTAAAATGGAATAATTTTGCACAGCAGCTTTTGATTTAAAACACTATAAAATATGCATTTATAAAATATATATACATTTGTATGACGTAATTAATGTCCAATGTACGTTACGTTACCATATTTATAGAACAAAGATTTTTCTTTATCCACATTGTAGAAAACACCCAAAAGTTTTAGTTTCTGTTACATCAGGAATAACAGTAGTCTCTTAGATAGGCAATTTTTCTAAAATAAAAATAGTTCTAAAATAAAAAGGGTATTTGCCCTTATAACCATATTATATATTAATATTATACTAGCTGTTGTACCCGTGCTTTGCAACGGGAAGAGGACACAAACAAAATTATAATACTGCACCCTGTTAATAAACCTTATAACTTTTTAATGCTATTTAATATAATAGAACAGGCCTACTCATAAGGTTAACATGGGAAACTCCAGAGCCACTGGGGCGGAGCCCAAAAGGACTTTTGATATAAAAATGTGTCTGTATGTTAATTGGGAATGTGAGCTATCATCACACCAAATTTCAGCCCGATCTGACCAGTATCTTTTGCGTTTACTTGTCACAAACATACATCCATACATCCAAACTTTCTCATTTATAATACTAGCAGAATACCCGTCCTTCGTACAGGGGTTGCGTATAAGTATAAAATGCTTATTGCAGTTATACTCATGCTTTGTGTTTGCATTGGAAGAGGACACGGTTTGATAAAATTTGATTCTTTTAATTTACGGAAGCTATAGTATAACACATATACCATAGCAATAATGTTCTACCCCTACACCTAAACAATAAAAAAGTAAATTTTTGAATATCCGCACAATATCAAAACATTATTTATATATTAAAAACATAAACTTAATTTTAAACAATCCTACTTTAACAGTTCTTATTGTGCATCACAGCCTTTTGTTGCGGTTTGGTTCAAATTAGCTATGTTGTCATGAATTAAAAATCAAATAATAGTGCTGCACCCTGTTGGTGAACCTTATAACTTTTAATAATATTGAATATCATAGAACACATTGTGTAATTGAAACAGCTGACAAACTCCTTCAATCCCTTTTAAATATGAATTCTCATAAGGTTAACATTGGAAACTCAAGAGCCACTGGGGCGGAGCCCGAAAGGATTTTTGAGATAAGAATATGTCTATAGTAGTTATGGTAGGAGATGATTTTATGGAGAATTGAAATGTAATTGAAAATTTTCATGTATGTGTGATTGGAGGGGTACATGTGATTGAAAGTTGAGGGGTGGGTTTTGTTATTGTAATAGAATGAGAGAATGAAAGAGAAAGAGAAAATGGATGATGAAGAGGGTAATGAAAGAGAAAGGGATAGAGAATGTTTGGGGTTGTGAGTGAGTGAGAGAGAGAGTGAAAGAGAAAATGGGGGAGGAAGAGGGGTATTGAAAAGAGAGAGAGAGAGAGTGAAAGAGAAAATGGGGGAGGAATATGGGTATTGAGAGAGTGAGAGAGAGTGAGAGAGAGTGGGAGATAGAGGAGTGATAGTGATTGAGAGAGAGAGAGTGAGAGTGAGAGGGTGTTGATGGAGGGTGTTCATGATGACGTCATTGTGTTATGTGTGTGTGTATTGGTGTGTGTATTTGGGTGTGTATTTGGGTGTGTGTGTGTGTGTGTGTTTTATTACTGCTTTATTCTGTATTACTTGGTATAGTTTATTATCAATTACTCTGTTATATGTGTTGTACATTTTAATGGATAGTAGTATGTTTTTATAGTTTGTAAAATTAAAAGATTTGGGTAAATTCTTTAGTCGTGGTATGGTATCTTTCAATGTCCTGTACCCGTATGTTTTACTTCTTACTGTTACAAATTCTAGAATGGGATTATTAGGAGATGTATCTTTGAATTTACCTAAGAGAGTATTAGAAATGAAAGGTTGATCTTTTGTAAATGAAGTAGTATCAGTAGTGAATACTTGTATTGCAAATGAATCGTTGTCTGTGTATATTAAATTGAACGGTGGGAAGTACTTTTTCAAGTTATTGTAATACATGTGGTACATGTATCTCTTACTTAGATCTAGTATTGAAAATCCTACAGGTATGGGTTTCTTACACTGGACCTTTTTCTTTTTCATGAATATTATATAATTGTTTTCATTTAGAATTAGTCTGTCTATGAACGTGGGTTGTTTTATTAAGTACATGAGTTTCTTAGTGTTGTTGTAGAGGAAGTATTTGTTTAGGTTTTCAGTAACCTTTTCTATTGACTTGCCATAGATTAAGTTTGATTGTAGTTTAAAGAAATTTGAGAGGGTTTTGTCATGTGAGTAGGTTGTTCGTAATTGGGTGTTTATGTCTATGTAGGGTTTTAACCAACATGATTGGTTAAATGAAATTACTCTATGGACTTTCTCTAGTATCATGCCCATTGACAGAGCTTGTTCTAAGGTCTTGTAATGAATCACATAATGTTTTCTATCTTTAAAAGAAGATATTAATGTACCTGTTTTTTCATCGTGGTAAGGGCACAATGGATAGTCTATGTGATTGGTATTGTAAGGGTATTTTAAATCAACTTCTAGAATATAACCTGTACCATTATTATTATTGGTGATGGTGTTGTATATGTTAAATGTTGATGGTGAAATCCATTTGAAATTGTCAAGTGGAAGTGGTTCTGTTGACATTATAGTGGCATATAGACCTATTATATCATAAAAGTATATAAATGAATCTGGATCTGAGGCATTATAGTTTGGAAGAGTGTGGTGGTTTGATTTTGTATAGCTTTTAATTGCAGATGTATATCCACCTCTTATTCCTTTCATTATCATTTTATACATCTCTATGTCATGTAAAAGTTCTATTTGGACTTTAGTGACTTTGAGCATGATGTCAAAACAGTAAGAACCTATTGTCAGGTAGTGGAAGATATCAAGATTATAGTGTTCTAAACAGATTAATCGTATAGTTTCTAGTTTCTGGAATGGTATATCATCGGGGATGAATTGGAAGAAATCTAAAAACTTCATTGTCGTGTTTTTGATTTTTTTGGATATGCACAAGAACTTTTCTACCTGTCCCTTGAATGGGATGAATTTTATGTTTGCATTGACACTGGTGAAGTAGTTTAACAGTTCTATTCCAAAATCTTTAATTATTATAGGAACAAAGTATGGTAGACGATAGTTAAAGTTACACGTTGAATGGGTGTAACCTCTTACTTGTCCATTTATATGATTATGGTCAAGCACATAGTCATTGTCAAGAATATAACCACAGATGTGACAGGTGTCATTGATTTGTGGTTTGGGTGGATAACAGTTGGGAGGGATATTTCTTTTATATATCCTTCCTATTGATTCACATTCACTTTCTAATGATATCATAAATGTGGATATGTCTGGAAAGGTAAGTGTACGTATTATTTTACTTGATTCATCTATGATGTTGTATGTGAGACTAACTATTGAATATGTCCCTATACGATGAGTGAATGATGTATTTGGATTTGGTTCACAGGTATCCTCTTTGACTAACTCAGTTTTTATGTCACAGTAAATGACAAAGGGTATCTTCAACTGTTTGTGGTAATTTTTAAAGAACAGTTTAGTACCAGTTTTTGGTAATGTGACAATTGGATCTGAGGGAGTTGTTATACAGACGATTTCATGATTCAGAAGATGGAGTTTCTTGTAGAAATGTTTGAAACACTGCCTACAAATGTACAGTCTAGATGATGTTTTCACTAATTGTTTAC